CCATGGTGGCCAGGATGGTCTCGATCTCTTGACCTAATGATCCACCCGCCTCAGCCTCCCAAAGTGCTCCCTCTCAGTTTTGAACCATTTCTGCCCACCTATGCCATGAAGAGTATCACTCCCTATACTCTTGCCCCTTGCCCCTTGTCTCTTAGCAGAAATTGAGGACTCTGCTGTCCTGCTGAAGGATCAGTATCAGACAGATTCTTTGCACCTGGGTGGTAGATCTCTGGGGCAGAGCATTTTCAGTGTCTTTTTCTTTTTCTTTTTTTTTTTTTTTTTTTTTTTTCCCCTCCTCCTGGTAGCCAAACTCTGTCTGTCTATCAGTGATTGGTCTTTGGTTGGAATTTCTGGCCCTTTCCTCAGCTTCATAGACTTCTACACGGTATCAGTGTAGAAAATGGTCCAAGAGAGTTCTCCCAATTTCCTTAGGAATAGAGGTTTGTGGCTTCTACCCTATCCACAATGGTAATAAATTTTGTCTCAAGATTAGGATTTGTATCCCTTTTAGAGAGACAGATCACCAGAAGCAGATGGACTTTCCTTCTGTTTCTCTCCAAGAACCAATGGATTTCTGTCCAAGCCATATGGATTAGACGATGTTCCACTCTTTCCCCAAAGGCTTATAGGTTTTATTCACATGATAGACATGATTGGGAAGTAGGTGTGGCTCTTGGTCTGCTCCTCTCCCACAGACACCATTGCTTCTTTAACTTCTGCTTCATGGAGGGCTCTCTCTGCTCTGTCCTCAGTCTTTACTGTGGACTCCCCTCGGAGGTCTCTGGGGAAGAGCTTGAAAGTGATAATGACCTTCCTTTTGGCCATTCCCAACCCATACTAGCCCATGCGTTGGCTTTAAAACTTCGTTAAAATTTAAGATGATTTTTTTTTGTAAGCCCCTTGGACAGTGCTCGTATCCTTCTGCTACGTGCAAAAGCTCAGATCCTTTGTGTCCTCATCTTTCTTTGGAGCCTTTCTTTGTTCTTTTGTTTCCTTAGAACTTCAGCTCTCTGGTGGGCTTCAAAATGTTGATTTTTTGGGGTGGATTATCCATGTTATTCTCATTGCTGTTGTGGGAGCAACATTTTTGGCAACTTTTTACGTTTTAAGCAAAAGTAGAAGTTTCAGCAAAAACATTTATTTAAGTAACTAAGTCATTAAAAACAAAACTAGAAATTATTAACTCAAACAACTATTGAATGTTTCAAATTAAAAAAAATAATAAGAATAAAAAAAGTAAAATATAATTGTGAAGAAGGGCAACTTAAAAACTCATATTAATATTCCAATTGTCTAGAAAACAGCCATCAGTGAAATAAATAAACCATTAGGCAGCAAGAAGGCATAAAATGTATGGCCTATTAATTTGCTGTTCTTGATAATGAATTGATCTTTAATTCTGACAAAAATTCACAGTACACAGATAAAACACAATAATGTAATTTCTCTCAGCATTCTGTGATGACATGTGTATCAAATAATAAAAATAAACTTCCTTCTCCACTTATTGCAATATTTACTAAGTCCTAGGTCTTCAGATTTAAAGTACTTCTTAAAGTATGAGAATAGACAAGAAAAAAAAAATTTGAAATGCCTGAAGCAAAATGAGATGTAGGCTTATTTCTGATAATGCGTAAGTTACTTCTTACCTACTTTGATTCATGATGGAAATAGTATTGTATAAAAAATATTAAATCTTCCTGCTGCATTGCAACAGGGAGACAAAATGAAATTAAGAGATTTATCAATAACTATATAAACGTCTAATTCCAAAATAATCACAGCCCACTCGTATGTGGAGTGGATATTTCTTATGAGTATTATATTAATATTTCACACTGTTGAACAGCTTTACCCAAATGGTTTTACATTAAGAGGAAGTAAGAAAGCATTATGAATCAAATCTCAAAAAAAAACAGCATTCATTTCCAACCAAATTCTATTTTCTACATTTTGGGGAAAATTTTTGAATTATATCTGAGCTTTTTTTTCTGATTTATTGGTTAAATAAAATGCATCTGTGTTCCTGAATGCAACTGAATTGGCTTGTTTTGTATTTATTTTTGTAGACTGTAAATGAGTAATTTTAATCTAGGTTACTCATTTTAGAATCTATGAGTTTGCTGTGATTCATTGTTTGTTTCCCTATCAATATTCATGTTGAAACGTAATCACCAATGTGATAGTATTAAGAAATGAGGGCCAAGCACGGTGGCTCACCTGTAATCTCAGCACTTTGGGAGGCCGAGGCGAGTGGATCATGAGGTCAGGAATGTGAGACCAGCCTGGTAAACAAAGTGAACTCTATCTCTACTAAAAAATACAAAAAGTTAGCTGGGCATTGTGGCAGGTGCCTGTAACCCCAGAAACTTAGGAGGCTAGGCAGGGGAATCACTTGAACCTGAGAGGCGGAGGTTTCAGTGAGCTGAGATCGCACTATTGCACTCTAGTCCAGGTAACAGTGTGAAACTCCATCTCAAAAAAAAAAAAAAAAAGATATGGGACATTTAAAAAGTGGGTTAAATCATGAAGACTCCATACTTATGAATGAGATACACCACCTTGCAAGAGGACTGAAGGGAAATAGCTGAGCCCTTTTGCTCTTCTGTCTCTTCCTTCATGCAAGCACACAGCTTTGAAGCCAAACGGGGCCCTCATCAGACACCAAAACTGTCGAAGCCTTGATCTTGGACTCACCAGCTTCCAGGACTATGAGAAACAAACTTCTTTCTTTATAAACTATCCAGTCCAAGTTTCTTGTTCAGCAGCATGAAACAGAGTCTAAAATAAGACAGACTTAAACTCTGTCTTGTGGAATAGTTCTCCATAACACAGAATCTAACAAACTTCTTATGCATTAGCACCTCTAGTAATCAACCATACCATTTTAATATCATTTTTAAGTGTCCTTCATCTTGATGTCTTTATGCCCTTCTTTACAAGTTTAATTCCAAGGTCCATCATATTTTGTACTTTGTATACATACCTAATTTTCTTGACTTTTTATTGTATTGGCTTCACAAAATCTGAATTCAGATAGACTAAATGTAACTTCTCACCTATACTAAAGCAGCTGAATTATCACCACAGAAAAACACAGTTGGTTGGGCTCACTTTAAATTTACAACTACAGGTCAAAAGCGGGTCTTTAGCACAGACAGGCTATAAATAACTATGTATTAATTTTGTTAATTTTAATTTCTACTCTCTGAGTTGATTTGTTAACAACTTTTTGCTTCTCAAGACTCACACTTCTCCACTCCTAGTCTAACTTTCTTTGTTTCTAAGAAAAACAGAAGCAATTAGAAGAAAAATATTTAATTTAGCAACAGCAATGGACCAAACATCTTGGATCTATATTCATCTACTGTCTTTTCCTTCTGCTAAGGTGAGCCCAATGACCTTGCTTCTAGCTAATCCAACCGTCTCATTGGCACATTGGATCCTTCTCACTAGCCTCAGTGGCAATGCCCCTGCAATTTTTGCATTCTTCTTGCATCATAAATGTATTCCTGTTTTCTGTACTATTTGCATAATCAGAAAACTATATCTTGGTGTCTCCCATATCAAAAATGTGATTAAACTTCTGAATTACCACTTACCCCTGCAACTGTTACTCTATTATTCTGCTTACCTTTATAGAAAAACGACTTCCAGGACCCAGACTTCAATATCCACCTATCCACTTGACATTTTCCATTGAATATGCTGTAAGCATTTATGGGGTAGACATGCCTAATAGCAATAACTTAAATTGTTGCTATAATTTGAGAGAATGATCCCGTATGACAGATGCACCCAAATATATGTTTGAGTTCTGAGCCAAGGAATCCGAGAGTGGCCAACCTGGAGATTCATTCCTTATCTATGAGGAACGTCTGAGCCCCCATCTCATCCCATGGAATCCAAGAAAGGATCTAGCCCCTTTGTTTTAGGTTCTATGGAGTTTGCCACGTGGAGGTTAGGGAGAGGGTGCTAAGTGAAAATGCCTTGTAAACTGTATGCCTTTTTTAAGCAGGAGGTGTGGTTCCTGTTTAGCCTGTAGACACTAGGCTCTGCAGCTCTCCTATCCAGCCCCCTGTCACTAGACCATCCTTTCTCTTAGTTACCCTAATAAAACCTCTACCTCAGCCTCCAGAGTAGCTTTGGGACTTTGAATTGGCAAATATCCATGATGTAAAGAAAGTGAAAATGTTTACTCAGTCTCATTTGCTAGTTCTGGGTTACCTCTTCAGCCTCTTGCACATGGTGCCATCCCTACTGAAGTTAATAGGCAACTAGCATGACAAAATTTCATGCTAAACTTGTCCACTAGACTCTTAATATTTCTTACTTTACATATACTAACTTGCACAATCCCTTACTAACTGCTTCAGCTGAATAATTAGAATTCATATTTCATTTTTGTCTTTCTTTCATACTTCACATCATCTTCACATCTAGCAGCAAATGCTCTTTTCTCTTCCATCAAAATGTGCCCTGACTTTGAATTATTTTCATGACCTCCACTGCTCACATTGTAGACTGAGCTGTATGATATCCTGCCTAAGTTAATTCAACAGCTCTTTGACTTGTCTTTCTCCCTCCACACATCTTGGCTTCAGAAACGCAATCAAGAAAAATACACAATATCCCAGGCAAGATTAGCAATAGCAGGGGTCACTTACCATCCTTACCATCTGTGGGGACAAAGAGGAAGAAAAGGATGAAAGAAAGGACCCTTTTCTAGTATCTTGATACCTAGAAGACAGTTTCAGTTTATAACCATAGTTCTATATGTGCATTTTCATAAAGTACCTGTGTTTATTGTGGACAATAATAATTTTTTTTTTTTTTTTTTTTTTTGCTATGAAGACATTGTATTAGGTCAAGCTACTTGCTATGAAAATGCTTTAAAACGCAGGAGGAGATGTAAAGACTCAAGTGTGTAGTGACAACGGCTATCAAAACACACTAAAAAAATCCACACTGCTTCCCCTTTTACCTAGAAAAGGAAGCTTCTAGGCTACCTCCTCCTCCTCCTCTGCACACTCCTCAAACTCCTCCTCCTCAGCTGTGGCATCTTGGTATTGCTGGTATTCTGACACCAGGTCATTCAGGTTGCTCTCGGCCTCGGTGAACTCCATCTCATCCATGCCCTCGCCCGTGTACCAGTGCAGGAAGGCCTTGTGCCTGAACATAGCTGTAAACTGCTCAGAGATGCATTTGAAGAGCTCTTGGATCACTGTGTTGTTACCAATGAAGGTGGCCGACATTTTTAGCCCCCGGGGTGGGATGTCACAGACGGCTGTTTTCACGTTGTGAGGGAGCCATTCAGCAAAGTAGCTGCTGTTCTTATTATGAATGTTGAACATTTGCTCATCCACCTCCCTCATGGACATGTGACCTCTAAAAATGGCAGCCACGGTTAGGTAGCGGCCATGACGGGGGTCACAGGCGGCCATCATATTCTTAGCATCAAACAGCTGCTGAGTGAGCTCAGCCACGGTCAGGGCCCGGTACTGTTTATTTTGTAACACCTAAGCTCTTTAAATGTTTTGACATGACAGTATATGATAAAAAGTAGAACTACTGAATTAACCAACTTGAAAACATCTTTTTTATTATATTTAATAGAAAAGAAGCATCTTGCACATGGAACTGTTAAATCATCTCTGAGCAGTTAAATCGGGACTGCTTTATCATGTTGGCAGCAGAAGCAAGTACAAAGGAAGGGTACATGCAGAAGTGCTTATGGTCGCATTTTGATTGTAATCACTGGTGAATGTGTGCATTTCTCTTGGCCAAACTATGTAAATCGGTTTTAAAATAAGTAAATAACACCATAACTTTTTGCTAGTATTTTAATCACATACATCTTAGAATCTCTTAGAGCATTATGCTTATCGTACTCTATTGCTCTGTGTCTCATGTTAAATTGAACATGTATCTCTGCCGCCATCTATAGCCACGGGTCTGTTGCCATTTTTTATTGTTTGTTTTGTTTTGAGATGGAGTTTTGCTCTTGTCACCCAGGATGGAGTGCAAGAACAGAGTGTTGGCTCACTGCAACCTCCATCTCCTGGATTCCAGTAATTCTCCTGCCTCAGCCTCTAGAGTAAGTGGGATTACAGGCGCCCAGCACCACTCCTGGCTAATTTTTTTTTTTTTGTATTTTTAGTAGAGATGGAGTTTTACCATGTTGACCAGGCTGGTCTCAAACCCTTGACCTCAGATGATCCACCCACCTCGGCCTCCCAAAGTGCTGGGATTATAGGCATGAGCCATCGCACCCAGCTGCCATTGTGTTTTTAAAGAAATTTTTGTTCCCACAAGAGGTTGGAATACATTTATTTCCTGATTGTTGTGGTATAGTATATTCTTGATAATCAAACTACTTGTGGCTTTGCCATTGTGTGTATGGACACACACAGTGGGACGGCTTGTAAATATGGACATGCAACAGATACTAGAAGGATGTCTCAGAACAGAGGGATTGTACTTATGAATGATGGTGTGCTCTTTGTTTCTTATGCTTTCGAGTTTTCCATAACGAGCATGGAAATGTGGGGAGAAAGGTTTCACTAAAAAGAAGTCAAGATAAACAGTACTTAAGACAAATGGACATGCTCTTGATTTAATTTAATAGTAAAGACAGCAGGAAAAAGTTGGGAAAAGCAAAATATAATTTTTGGTTAAATATGGTGGCTAACAACATGATAAAATATCAAGTATGAGGAACTACGTAGAATAATACAGTATCATTCCGTGTGTGTGTGTGTGTGTGTGTGTGTGTGTGTGTGCAAGTGCATAGATATACACATAGAAATGTACAGATAAAAACTGACTTTGGTCATATCCATTCTCCTGCTCCCTAAAAAAAGATACTGATTCTCCATTGAAGAATTCACCCCTCCCAATTATCCAGAATGTTGTCTCAGAGAGATTAATTCCTGATTAGTTTAGTATACCCCATACCTCAGTTCAAAAGATTTCTTTTGTAAATAGTCATTTCACCAGATTATAATCAATGTAGTAAGAGAATATTGAGACTTCTGGAGGTTAAAGAGGTCTTTTTCATTGTTGTTATTGCCTTGGTTTTTATTATTGTTTGGTAGTTTTATGGTGCTACTGTAAGTAACTGTTTGCATTTGACTTACACAGACAAAAATGGAAGCCCAGAAAAAATAGCATTCATGCTCTAAATATAAAGGTAGGCACACCCTACAGAAAGAAAACTGAGTAGAGACAGAGAAACAGAAAGCTGCTCACAATTATTTTACTTCCAAATCAATCTAAGCACAAAATGTCTGTCTACCTCTTGCTCATTCGGCTAATAAACCAGGCAATTTTCCTTATTTAAATGAATGTGATTTTAGTTTTCTTCTACTTAGAAAGCATGATTTGTAATTTTTTTCTTAAACTCTCAAAAAATCAAAACATATTAATCAATATATTGATATATATGTTTATACATACATGTGTTTATTTTGGTGATCATTTGATTTTTTTTATGAGGTGTATCTCATTCTACCTAGTGAATTCAATGTAAAACATGTATGTTTACCTTGATTCCCTGGGCAGATGTACATTTAAGTTTGGTTTCTGCACTTGAATTAGTTTACCATAGACTTCAGTAGTGTTTGTTCTAAAGTATAAATAACAGGTAATATTATCCTAGCATTGATACAGGTTATATTATATATATTATAAGGCAGTAAACTTCATCTTTCTTTACCCAAATAATGATAATAATAAAGAATGCATATCAGTCTCTGTGAGGCTTTCAGCAAAATCAATGCCTTAAAAATTTTTTTAACTACAGGAAACTTTGAATTTATGAAATATTTATGAGAAGTCACATCATGTCTACTGTGGTTCTCAGCTGTGACTCCAGCATATGGTTTGTAAATTGAAACAGGTGTGAGAGAACAGGTGGTCACAGCCGAGCAAAGGAAGGATTGGAATTTACTGTGGGAAGCAACAAGATAAAATAACACCATTGGCATTGAAGGCAACTTGCTGACTTCATGGCAGATCCTAAAAGATGCTCACGGGGAAAATACACATGACAACACTTGAGATGAAAGTATTGAGCCACTCAAGTCTAGATGTGGAAGTTGGGAAGCGATCAGGATGGTTTCCCATGGTGAGCAAATGCAGGTGAATCTTCATACTAAATTCGAGTGGTTTGCAACTCAATTGCATTAAAAGAACAAATGAATAAACCTTTCCTCCTACTTCTTTTAACAAAAAACTGGGCCAAAGAGGGCCTAGGGCCACTTTCACCTCTGTTACCCACACCATTTCTAAGAATAATTCCATATTCTGAATCCACGAACTCCAGGCATTAGAAAATTATTCCACAACTTTTTTTTTTTGAAGAGATGGATATAATGTTTTTCTGTTATTTCAGAAAAATGCCTTTAAAATAAGTCTTTTCAAAATGTCATATTATTTACCCAATACAGATAATAGAATATAGTATTTATGACTTTTAATCCTCACCCCATTCCCAGTATCTCATTCTATATTTATTCAAAGCTTAACAGTCCATATTAATAGAATGGAACAGTCCATACTAGTGGAATACAGTAAGAGCTAGAACATGTTTCTAGATGGATTTGGAATGAGCAACTGTATTTAAATTTAAATATGAGCTTTTATCTTTTAGATATACACAAAGTTTCAAAGCAAATATTTTAAGGAGTTAGATTTTAATAAAACTTCAAATAGAAATCTGAAAGGGGTAAGTCTTCGTAATTGTCTTGTTCTAATCCATACCCTGGCATACATTCAGGTGAAAATGTAACAAGAAGAAATAAATTGAGAATAACGAGAACTTATGGAAATAAAATTATTTATAGCAAAAATGAAAAGTTTAATGCAATAACTAGAAGATAAAGTTCTACAAATATACCAGAAGGTAGAGTCCCCCCAATATACATACATATGCCTATATGTATGTATTATATATCAAATATGTATTCACACATACAAGGGAAGAAACTAAGAAAAGACAAGCAGTCCAGTAGGTCTAATATTCATCAATATGTTTCAAGACAAAAACAAAGAACCCATAAAAATAGAGGAGAAGAAAGAAAGAGTGGTCAACAAAACAAGAAAAAACAAGTCATGGTAGAAAAAAAAAAAAAAAAGTGCTTATTTCCAGATTGAAAGAGACCAAGTCGTCAGAAAAAAAATGAATGAGCCTAGACTGACACTAAGTACATTATAATGAAATTTCACAACACTGGGACACAGAAGATCTCACAAGCTGGGGCCGGGGAGAGAAGTTAAGACAACCACAACCACCACAAAAACATGATTCACACAAAATATGATTAGGAATAAAAATGGTGTGAAGCTAGAAGCTTCACAGTGATGAACACTTCAGAATTTTAAGAAGGAAAAAAAGATATTCATTCTTGGGTCTGCATCACACCTCAGTAAACTGCATCTTTTTCCTCTTTTATGAATTAAGAAGCCAAATGGAGTAAATACACAAAAAGAGTTTGATCATGAGATGAATCTACTTCATTCATCTCCTACAAAGGTCTAGACCTGGAAATGAGTATAGATGTCATTGTCATAGACAAATGTAATGCTTTTCTAGCCTAATGAGCCACCAAGCCAATACCTGAATACCTAGTAGGGTAAATAATATTATTGTGCCTTTATTTGATACAGCTGGGCAATGGGATTGTAGTTGAAGCACTTTGTGGGTTTATTTAATGGGATGACCCAGGCCAGTGGTTCTCAACCTGGGGTAATTTTGCCTCCAGGAAAAATTCACTGAGACATTTTTAGCTGCTAACACTGTTGGGAGTTACTTCTGGCATCCAGTGGGTTGAAGCCAAAGATGCTACTAAACATCTCACAATATGCAAGACAGTTTCTCATATCAAAGAATTATCTGGCTCCAAACATCAATGATGTCAAGATAGAGAAACCCTGATCCATAACTATAGTTTTCTGTATACATATTATATGAAAATAGATCTTAATTCCATATGCTAAATATTAAAATCAGGAATGAGTATCAACTTCTCAGGTGTAACTTCTATTATAAAATAGTTAATAACCACAGATAGCAACAGTTCCTTTATGAATGATTATGCATTGGAATGGAAGCTTTAATTGCTGCCATGGAGAACAAATGAGCTATCATTTAATTCCTTTTGCTATTGTTCTGTTTAATTTGGACTCTCTGTCTCTATGTCCTCCTTATGCCTGACCCTCCTGGAAGTAATCCCTCTCCATACACTTGGGCTAGTCCAATATATAACTCACTGGATCATAAGCCCTTGAATAGGAAGACAGATACAAACCAGTGCAGTGAAAGCTCTGTGTGGTGAGTGTCGACTTCCATTCGTCCAGCTTCTCTCCTCAAAGTTCTACCAGTTTATTTCACCTGATAAAGCAACACAGTCATAGATAGATGGGGAAGACATTGGAGAGGCCAGATGGCAATGTCTTCCCCTCTGGTCTGGGTTGTTGCTTCCTGCTCTGTTTCCTAGGGCTTTATTGCTTGGCTTGA